CACTTGACAGGTGGCTGATATCCAAAACGCTGACACCACATGCTGACAAGGACGTGGGGTGGCCGGCACTCTGGTGAGTGGGGTGCAGGATAGTATAGCTGCCTTGGAAGACAGATGGGCAGCTTGTTACAGAGCTAATCATGGCTTTATAGGATCCAGCTATCTTGCTCCCTGTTAGGAGGCTGAGGCAGGTGGATTGCCTGAGCTCAGGAATTTGAGACCAGCCTGAGCAAGAGCAAGATACTGTCTCTAAAAATAGTCAGACTGGGTGGGTGCCTGTAGCTCCATAGTTAGAGCGCTGGCCTCAAGCATTGGGGGTAGCAGGTTGGAACCCAGCCAGAGCCTGCTAACCAAACAAACAAACAAAAAAAAGCCAGATATTGTGGCAGGCATGTAGTCCCAGCTACTCGGGAGGCTAAGGCCAGAGGATGATTTAAGCCCAAGAGTTTGAGGATGCTGTGAGCTGACACTACAGCACTTGCCACAGAACTCTACTGAGGGCAACGAAGTGAGACTTTGACTCAAAAAAAAAAAAAAAAAAAAATCAAAACTGATCATACATCTCAATATAAAATGCAAAACTATACAATTCTTAGAATGTAACACAGGAGAATATCTAGATGACCCGGGGTTTGGCAATGACCAAAGGCTGGTCTGTGGAAGAATCACTGAGAAGTTAGACTTTACAGAAATTACAAACTGCTCCATTAACACTCTGTCAAAAGAATGAGAAGACCAGCCACAGACTGGGAGAAAAGAACTGAAAAGAGAGAATGTCAAAGGACTGTGATCCAAAACATGCAAAGAACTTTTCTTTTGAGACAGAGCGTATGTCACCCTCAGTAGAGTGCTGTCCTGTCACAGCTCACAGCAACCTTTAACTCCTGGGTTTAAGCGACTGTCTTGCCTCAGCCTCCCAAGTAGCTGGGCCTACAGAAGCCTGCCACATCAGGCTATTTTTTTTGGTTCGAACGTGCCAGCCCCAGTGTATGTGGCCAGGACCCTACTCACTGAGCTATGTGCGCTGAGCCAAAGAACTTTTAAAACTCAACAGAAAGGGCTCGGCGCCTATAGCTCAACCGGCCAAGGTGCCAGCCACATACACCTAAGGTGGCGGGTTAGAATCCCCAGCCTGGACCCGCCAAATAACAATGACGGCTGCAACCAAAAAATAGCC